ATAATATATAATTGAATCCATTTTATGGATGTGTGAAAATTATTAACAATATTATGTGAATATTATTAATATTCATATTAATGTTTTAAATTAGATCTTTTGGATTTGAATTTTCATTATTGATAAAAATTACTATTGATTCTGTTCTTTTTTCTAATAAGTAATTATAATGAATAATTTAATTCATTGATTAATAATTAATTAATCATTAAGCGTGAGTATTATATATTTTAATTTTTTATAATTTATATCAAGTAAATGTACTGCAAGTTGTAATAAGTAATATATATATAATCTTATTTTATCTATCATATAATCTATATATATATATAGATTAATCTATATATATAGATTATATAGATAATTATATAAATAATATAGATTAATATATATTATATATATAGATTAATCTATAGATTAATATATATAGATTAATATATATTATATATATAGATTAATCTATATATATATATATATATATATAGATATAGATATTTTAATTGAGATTGAAATCAATATATTGTTAAATGTATCTACATTTTCTGTTCCATTACTGATCGAATATAATTCTTTTATAATTTCCAATAAATGGATTTAGTGAATAGCTACATTAAATTTACATTTAAATTAATGCGTTAAACGTGGTTCGAATTCGATAGATCTTCATTACTAATAAAAAAAAAAAATAATATTTTTATAAATCTTTAATAAATAAATTCAATGGCTATTTAAAACAATATCAAAATCAATATACCAAACGAGGCAGGCATTTAAATTAATCATACGTATATTTTTTGTAAATTAACGTAAAGAATAGGAAACCATATTATGATCTTCCCCGTTTATATTTTTATTTCATTTTCAATTTTTCTTTTATCGTTCTAAATCAAATCTATAAATTTAATTATAATAATGATGTTTCTAATACCTTTTCGAGTTCTTTCAAGCTGGCAGGTGATACGTCAGAGTGTCTTCGAATTTCTATGCCCTTTGGTGGTGCCAAAACACTTCCAAAACCACCTAGTTGACTACCACTTTGACAACCGAGTCTTGCATCGCTATGTCTTCTTTGCAATGCTTCGAGAATCGGCACTTCAAGAAGAGAATCTGTTGACTCTTGCGTCACGATCGGCTGGTCCCTCGAGGCAATTTTTCGACGACAAACACTGCATCTCCAAGACGACTACAATAGTACGTAAAAGTTCACAAATTTATATCTATATATATGTGTATATAATTAGAATTTATATATCTATAAATATTTATAATTTTTTTAAATTTATATATATATATATTGTATGTGTATATATGTGTGTGTGTATATATATTATTGTAAAAAAATTATGTTTAAAAGATTAGAGTGTATATAAATTTCGATGAATTTATATGTGTGTGTATGTATATGTATATGAATATAGGTGTTATAAAAAATACGAAAAAAGTAAAAAATAAAAAAAAAGATATACCACCTATATGACCTATAAGGTGGTATATATTAAAATCGAAAAATATATATATTCATTATTTAATTATTTAATTAATTATTAAGTTAGTTAATTTATTAATTAACGATATATTCTTAACAGGTTATCTTTTAATTGCATATTTATAATACTAATTAAATTATCGAAAAATTATCATAAAACTTTTCACTTTTTAATTATGATCCATATACAGTTAATATTAATTAAACAAAGAAATTTGTGATCGATATCTACTTACATAATACAATTAAAATTAATTATCAACAATAATCGTCATTGATCTCCAATTAATTTTCTACATATGATTGAAATTAATTATCAAAAGATTTTCATCAAATTTTTTCATATTTTCAATTATACACATATGATTGAATTTAATTAAAAAGGAAGATATTTAATTGATTTTTATCCACATAAATATGTATGTACGTTATTAAAATTAATTAAATATTAATCGTAAACGTAATTATCTACGTAAGATTAAAATTAATTATCTACGAAAAATTATCACTGTACGTTTTAATTATTAACATTAAAATTGATATTAATTAAGAAAGAGAAGAAAAAGAAAAGAAAAAGAAAAGTAAGAAGAAAAGTAAAAAAGAAGTGTCATTTATTTACAAATAATTATTCACGTAAATTTGATAATTAATTAAGTTCACATGTAAACAATTTTTTTGTTGAATTTCAATTTCGATTTTTTTATGGAATATTTTTATTTATTTTTTATAGTAATTAATTTTCTTTCTATTTTTTGCTTTTTTTATGCTATTCTCATTCTCTCTCTCTCTCTCTCTCTCTTACTTCAAAATTAAAAGTTATACTATATTTCAAGATGTGAATTAATAGTCATCAAGCGAAACGATAAATAGTCATCAAGAACATTTACCTGATCGTCTGAATTTGTTGTCGTCGAGTACGAGGCACAATCCTCGCAAACTTTTTGTAGACATTCGCAGCAAGTCCTCGAAGCTTCTTCTGGTCCAAAGGACTTCCGGCAAACTCTACATTCTTCACCGCTGCTCGTTTTACTTCCTGTCTCCGGCTTTCTGTTGTAACAATCAATTTTTTCCAATTTATTTGATCGTGCGTACAAAAGAATAAAAATAAAAATAAAAAATAAATAAAAAGACAATGAAAAAAAGTAGAAGAAAAAAAGAAATTTACTTTCGAGAAGATTGATTTCGAACGATCTCGAACTCGATGAATTTTTTTCGTTCGCTTTGATTTCTTTCTTTTTCTTCTTCTTTTTTACTCTTTTTTTTTTTCCAATACTTTAATTACCGTAACAATATCGTAAATCGTACTTGTCGCCTTAATCGTGTACTTTAACAAATATCGTTAAACTTCAAAAGTGTCATAACACGTTTGGAATATCGATAAATTGATACACTTTAGACGCTCGTTAACCAACTTTAGTTAAGTTTTAAATATTGTTTAACTTTTGTTAAGTATAACATATCGATTGTCGTTGAAAAGAAAAAGAAACACTTTTTCTACAAAATGGATGTAAAAAATATTATTACATATTTTCCTCTTTAAAATCTAACAACTTTTGTCGTTTGAAACGTTTCTTTACTGAAATCAATTAGACCACGTAGACATTTGATAATATTTTATTAATTTTTGTATTGATTAATTTTACGTGATAATAAACATACATATTGAAATAAGAAAAATAAAAAAAAGAATAAATAAATGAATAAAAAATTGAATAAATATGAAAAACAAAAAAAAAAAAACAAAAAGAAAAAAGAAATAAAAGAAAATAGAAATAAAAATAAAAAAAATAAAGGAAAAAAGGATTTATTCAGTTTTTGCAACAAATTAATTTTCTTACTTTTATCATTCAGTTACAATTTTATATTTTCTATTTCATTCAATTACACAAAATATTATTAAAAAAAAAAGAAAAGGTTAAAAAATTTCACTAAAAAGTTTTAAACAAATTTCCAAAACGATACTTCGTTATTTACTTTTATTCATTTGATCAGTAATATTTTTATTGAACAATTGTTAAAAATTTTTTTTAATAAAAATGATCGATATATGAGCCGTCGATTTTGAAAAGGCGGCGTCCATAGTTTTGTTTTTTTTCTTTTCTATAAAAAAGAAAAAAAAAAAAAAAAAAGAAGAAATTTTATGTTAATTTGTAATAAGCATTAGCTTTAACAATTTTTTTTCATAAAATGAACTTATGTCACTTTTAAAATCAAACGGTTATATATAATATTCATATATTTTATATATGAATATTTTGATCAGTATAAATAATTATGCGTTATAAATTTCTTCAGGCTTACATCACTTATATTGCATAATAACGATATTTTATTATAAACATGAATCATGATTTAATAATGATTCAATATCATTTAAATACCTTAAATCGCTTAAACGTTTTCTCTCTTTTTTTTTTTTCTTATTTCTCTAACATTATGGTTAGACAGCATGAAGCATATGTATGTACATGTAGGTACTATTTCATTTAGGAAGAATTGATTTTTACGAACGTAGTCGGTATGGTTGTAGCACGTCTGAAAAATTTTCAAACTTTAAATTTTCATTTCCGGAAAATAAGGAGAAAGAGGAACGAACGACGTGAGACCGGAAAGTTCATTAATCTTCGACCTCTCTCTCTCTCTCTCTCTCTCTCTCTTTCTTTTTTTCTCTCTTTCTATCGTTCTTTTTCTTTTTCTTTCTCCCTCATTCGTATATTCAATATCATTCCGACACAACGAAGCATGATAACTCAATTATTCATTTCTTTATCTTTTAAATCTTTTTTCCCTCCTTTCTTCTTCTTTTTTTGTTTCTTATTTTACGAACAAGCTTCGTATCAGTGCAAAAGAAAAGATAAAGATCAGATCAGATAAGATGGATAGATGTGCAGATGGATAAAGTGAGTGAGTGAGTGAGTGAGAGAGAGTGAGAGAGAGAGTGAGAGAGAGAGAGAGAGAGAGAATAAAGAAATCTGGTTTGCTCATCGTGAATTAACTTTATTAAGTAATTCCATTAACATAGATTGCTGAGATTGCTCTTATTGTAAAATATAACAAGATCCTTGAAGAAGATCTATTGTAAAATTAAATATCGTTTAATATTTTATCGTGCTCAAGAACTTGTTGCACCAATTGATTACTACACGATAAAGATTTGAGATATCATTATTTATTTCGTTCATTTTTTTCTTCTCTAAGAAAATTTTTCTTATTCCTTTAGTTATTCATTTTAAATCTCATAGAATCCAATATATATCCCATATATTAAATATTTTAAATATATCGAAAAATTCTATCTATCTATATAATGTGCAAATATATATTATTTATTATTTCAATAATAATAATTATTATTTAATATATACATATATATATATATAAATGATATAAATAAATATTAATAAATAAATAATATATTATATATAAATATTATATAAAATGATTGAGTGTGTATATAAATGTGTATAGCATTATAACGATATCATATTTAACTTTACAATTACAATATATATTATTTATATTATATATATATATTATATTTACAATATATATATTATATACAATATATATATTATATTTACAATATATATTATTTATTATTTTAATAATAATAATTATTATTTAATATATATATATATATATATATATATATATATATATATATAAATGATATAAATAAATATTAAATAAAATAAATAAATAATATATTATATATAAATATTATATAAAATGATTGAGTGTGTATATAAATGTGTATAGCATTATAACGATATCATATTTAACTTTACAATTACAATATATATTATTTATATTATATATATATATTATATTTACAATATATATATTATATACAATATATATATTATATTTACAATATATATTATTTATTATTTTAATAATAATAATTATTATTTAATATATATATATATATATACATATATATATATAAATGATATAAATAAACATTAAATAAAATAAATAAATAATATATTATATATAAATATTATATAAAATGATTGAGTATGTATATAAATGTGTATAGCATTATAACGATATCGTATTTAACTTTACAATTAAAATTTAACTGAACTTTACAATTTAACTAAGCTACATAATATTTTACTTTTATCACTCTGACCTCGTTCGAAATAGTGCCGAATTGATAAAACTAACAAAAATTTTATTAAACGTAATATTATACTCACTTTATAATCGAATCGATGGTATCCTCTTTCGGTTGTATCTCCTCGACCGGTGTAACTTTAGCTGGAGCCAATTTCGTAACTGAAAAAACAAAAATAGAAGGAAAAAAGTTAGAAAAAATAAATATTAACAGTTAAACGAATAATTGTTTATACGAAAGAAAGAGAGAGAGAGAGAGAGAGAGAGAGAGAGAGAGAGAGAGAGAGAGAGAGAGAGAGAGTGAGAGAGATACAGACAGATACATACACATACATGCGTGTTTGTACATACGTATGTACATGTATACAAAGTGTCCAAAACTTATTTATACAACTTCTATCTTCTTTATAATATATAAATCAACAAGTGTAAACAATTTCCCTGTTGTATGGTTTAACGCGGAAAAATTTATTACATTTTTTTTTCATCTCTCCTGTATAAAAGCAACATTTTTTTTAGGCCTTGAACATATTCGCAAATCTCTGAACAATAAATACATTTCTAAAATGCAATTAAATAACCATTTGGATATCCCAACGTTACAATCTCTGATACCTATATATCGGGGATTAGTCAAAAATATTGTATACAATAATCGATTGATAGACACAGATAGACAATTTAAAAATAAGAATCACAGCTTTTATTAAACGAATTGACATGGAATTGTTAAAATGTACATACATAGCAGCATTTGAATATAAATACAATGTTATACAAATCACTACTTATATGTACACACACACACACACACACACATATATATATATATATACACGAATGTTTGTAAAATTATTACTTCAAAATATAAAAGAATCTTTTTGAAAATGATAGATTATTATTAATATTCTTATTTAATAATTCAGTATATATGACATCTTGAATTTCATTAAAAATAATGAAGCTGTATAGATAATTTTTGGATACCCTATGGTATCCAAAATATAATTTTTGGATATACTTTCCTATTATTATTCTCCCTCTCTCTCTATCTCTCTCTCTCTCTCTCTCTCTCTCTCTCTATATATATATATATATATATATATTCTTTTCTCTCTCTCACACATCTCACCCTTAGAGTTTTATATCTTTCGGATATCATCTAAAAATCCTTGAGGGTATATCAAGCGAAGCGAGGACCTATTCAAATATTCAGTCACTTTCCAAGCAGAAGGACGATACCCATTTTCTTAACGCCTCTTCCAATTTTACTCAATTACCCCCTTATTCTCGGATGGCAATGATCTGTATATCATATCAACGAGAAAAATAAAATGAAGATTGAATGCATTGTCAATATCGTTTCGTGAAATCGATACACGTCTCTGAATGTATGAAATTTATTCGATTTTTTAAAAGTAAAATCGTAAAAAAAAACAAAAAAAAAAAGGAAAAAAAAAAGAAAAAGAGAAAAAAAGAGGAGAGAAAGAATTTACTAACATACACGTTGAAAATACGTATTCGATGGTTTTTTTACATATTCCTTTTTTATATCTCCATACCTCCTCCCCCTTCCCTTCACCGTCATAAAAATCATAATTCTAACGTCTTGCATATAAATTGACTTCTGTATTTTTTTTCGTTCTCCCACCAATTCTCTCATAAAAGCGAATCTTTCTTTCAAAATCAATGAAGCAAGAAATTTTCACGTTAACAGCTAACATCATCTCTCTTTATTGCGTATCGAAAAATTAATTCGAATCTTTCGAATGTAGATACATATATTGATCCTCGACATTTTTCTTCTCATCTTTTGTTTTCTTTATCTTCGTAAAAAACGAAATTCTAAATGTGTCGCATCGACGTCAAAACATTAATTTTTTTTTTTTTACTTCTGTAAATTAGTGCAAAGAGAAAAGGAGAAAGAAAAGAAAAAAAAACAAGAAAAAGAGAGAGAGAGAAAGAGAGAGAGAAAAAGAAAGTGTTCGCGTTAACGCGAACTTTCTTTAATATTTATGATTTTTATCAAAGCACCTAACTAACGTAAGCGTGAAATAGGAATCGTACGACTAACGAGACTTCAATCCAATTAAAGTTTCTTATGAAAAATAGTCTATTTCTGATATTTTTCTCTCTTTCTCGTTTCTTTTCTCTCTCTCTCTCTCTCTCTCTCTCTTTTTATTTTTCTCTTATTTTCAGTTTTTCACATAGGCACGCCGTAGACGCGTTCCTTCGACGGAAATTAACCGTCAGATCGAATCTCGTGTGATTTATGTCTAGCGAACGTGGGAAGTGAGAGAAAGCCGTATGGAGAATATCATCGTAATGCGGTTAGGCGAGCCCGACCTACGCCCCCGTTAAATCGAAATTATATTGGTTAGGTTCATGGCTCATTTTTTCTTCCTCTCTTTTCCCTTTATTTTTATTATTATTGTTACTATTATGATTATTTTCTTTTTTTTTCCTTTTTTTTTTTTTTTTTTTTTTTTTTATTATTATCATCTTCGTCCTACATTCTCGTAACATCGTAATCTACAAATACAATTACAAGTCATTGTTAAAATATGTGATGGGACGAAATTTTAGATAAAATTTAATTAAACATAAATTATTATCGACTTGTCGGAGGAAAGAGGAAAATAATTTATTTTTGTCTTTCTTTCTTTTTCTCTCTCTTTCTTTTTTCTCTTTCTGTTTTTTTTTCTTTTTTTTTTTATATAAATTTTATTCTGAAGATATTAACGTTTTAACGCAAAATTTCTTGAGAGATTCTTTTTATTAAAAATCATGTCATTTTTAAATGTCAATTGGACGGACATTTGTTACTGTTTTAATTTCATGATCATTGGAAATGAAAGAAAGAAAAATTTCATTTAAATTATCAAGAATAAGATAAAAAAAAAAAAAGGAAAGAAGAAAAAAATAGAACGTTCGTTTCGACGATTGATTAATATCAAAAAGCGAACATAAACAATTTTATTTTATCAAAATCGTGATAATTCAATTTTTTCTTTAGATCTGAAAAAAAAGGATCTCAAAGATCCTGAAAGGAAAAAATAAAATAAAGAGAAAAAGAAAAAAAAATGAAAAGAATTACTATTAACAATAAAAAAGGAGTGATTAGAGAAGTCAGTGGGAAATATTTATTTTGTTTATTTTCCGTTATTTATTTATTTCTAATCCGTCGTTTAGAATTGCTACAAATGAATTTCGTAAAAGAGTTGCATAAATTAAAAGAGAAAAGAAAAAAGTATCTAGAAAGAAAAAAAAATTGAAGGGAAAATAAATGAGAGAGAGAGAGAGAGAGAGAGAGAGAGAGAGAGAGAGAGAGAAAGAGAGAGAAAGAAATTCATGAAAAGCGAGGTGAAATACTTTTTTTTCCCTTTTATTATTATTCTACAAACGAAGTTGTTTTATATTTCAGTTTGCGGTTTCAAGAGTAAAAACACAACGAGAAGCCAGGATGCGCACAGATGGGTGGGGGGAGGTGGCAGCTTTGCTGGGTGGCATTTGATGGAGGTGGTTGGAGGGGGGACGTGAGAGAAAGGGGTTAGAAGGACACGCATGTGAGCATCGATATTCGAGGTGGCATATCGACAAAGAAATTAATTTTTTTCCCGGCTGCCGTTGACATTTCACGGTACTCTTTTCTTCCCCTATTTTTTGTCTCTCTATCTTTAGATTTCGTTGCTATTTTTTTTTATTGCTCTTTTCTTTTTCTCTTTTTTTCTTTTATAATTTCAAAAATTCAAATAGAATTGGATCAGACGGTATTTTCTGTTTTTTTTTTTTTTTTTTTTTTTTTATTCGCATTAAAATATAACGAGAAATATTCTTTTTTTCTTTTTAACATGTAAAATATAAAATTGTAATATTACAATATTGTTAATTATTGAAATGACATCCTTTATATTTAAACTATACAAGGTTGCTCGCCGTTCTTTTCTTTTTTTTTGCGCTTACAATAATACTCAAAAAATTTACGGTACAAAACTAATTTATTTATTAATTAACAATTCTATAAATTAGTCGAAAACTGATTTTTCTTTTTAGAAAATAAAATAAAATAAATTTGAGTTCGTAAGGATTTACGTTTAGAAAAATTGTTTACAATATAAATTGTTAAGCATTTAAAAAAATAGAGATAATATTACCTTTTAAAATGATATCTTGTTCAAGTCTCTACGATTTTTAATTTCGAAGATATTCTCATATAAATGGAAAACGTTTACGTTGACCAATAATTTCATTTGAATTAGATCAATGACACATTGATCTAAATGCGTAAATTCTAAGAATTTACGCACCATAGCTATCATACGCATCAAACTACTATTACTACTATTATCACTACTACTATTACTATACTATATTACTACGAACAGCTGTATTGTAAGAATTATGAATGAAAATTTTTCGAGGACGATATGTTCGAAACGAAAAGTCGTAGAAACTTGAAAAAAAGATCGTTTTCAAGCGTAATTTATTCTATTGTTTATTTAAATAATGCAATAACATAGATATAATAAAATTGAATATTGTTAATAATTTTTACAATTGAATTTTTTTTCTATTCTTTCGTAATAAGGATATATAATGAAATCATTTAAATTTCTATCAAAAATGTGTAAATTTTATCTACTTTATTTAAAATAATAGGAATAGAAAATCTATTAATAATTGCCAATGTACGATAATCGAGATGTTATTTTACGAAGAAATTAAATTTAATTAAATTTAATTTGAAATAAAAAAAATTAGATATATATATATATATATATATATATATACATGTTTTTTTATTTAATATAAAAACTATTTTACATTTCTTTACTTTATCGTCCATTATTACGTGACGTTTTCTTTTTCATCTAATCGCCTTGAAAATATTAAAGAGAAAGAAAAAAAAGTAAGCAAAAGAAAACAAAAATAAAAAAAAAAGAATAAATTTTATTTTCTTCGTGAAGCTTTGATTTTAATTAGAAATTTCTAACTATGATCACGTAATAGATTTCGTTCCAATCCATCATGTCTGCTTTCTAATGGATGATGGAACGATTCGAAATCGTTGGCTTTATAACTCCATGTAGGAGATTCCAATGTCATAATGCGCACACGTCTCTATGTCCGTTTAGCTAGTTATGGCAATGTCATCGCCAAGTAGTCGATCTGGATACACAATCGCATTGTTAATCATCTGACTAATTAATGTCTGCTCTTTGGTCATCGACGATTCGATCATAATTGCTAGAGCTTTCAAAGCGACACGATTAACCTATCGTTTATGTTATCGCAATCGATTTTACGAAAGATAACGACTCATCTTATGAAATTCATGTTATTTGAAAAAAGACAAAAAAAAAAAAGCAAAAAAGAAAAGAAAAAAAAAAAAGAAAATGAGAAGAAGAAAAATAAAAAAAGTAAAAAAGAATTACAATCGTATAATAATTCCATTAATGATGTAATAATATAATACTTTTCAAGGCTATTCACGAAAGGTTCTATTGTTTGAATTTAAAAAATATTTTTAATGTTTTAAAAATGTTCATTGGTTATCTTTTCTTTTTTTTTTTCTTTCTTTCTTTCTTTTTTTTTCAGTCATCCTGTTGTAATACATACAGAATTTTTTCGCTTTCAAAATTGTTCTTATTTTTTATTTTTATAATTTTTTTGCTTTTTTTTTTCCATTTATTTACTTTATTATTCATATCAAGCACGTAATCTAATTTTCAATGGAACGTGCAGAATGAGTTTCGACCGATTCTCTAATCAACTTATATACCTTTCCTGCACGAATTTACACGCAAGCACGTATCGTTTTATATTTTATTATCACGGTTAGCTGATCTAATTTAATACTGTCTAGGATCGATGTAAAGCATGTCTTGAAATTTATATGAATAACTACGATTCAGATGACAATCTCTCTTAAAATTATTCATACGTTTATTCTATAATAATACCAAAAACGTATCACATAAATTACATACATACATACGTATAATATTCGTTCTAATCTTTATTTAATAATAAAATTTTTATATATTGAAAACAATAAAAATAAAAGAAGAAAATGGAAAGGAAAAAAAAATGAAAAAGAATTATTTCGTTCAATATAAAAATTTTTATATCAAATATTATTAGGTATATATACGTAATTGATAGCCTCTTGCATTTATTCTAAAAAAAAAAAAAAAATATGAATAACATTAATATGTTTAATTAATTATTCCAAAAAAAACTTTTTTTTTTCTAAAACAAAAAAAAAAAGAAAAACAGAAAACATTATAGAATTAGATAAAAAGAAAAAAAAAAAAGAAGAGATGAATATGGAATTTTTTGAAAATCAAGGTTAATCAAAAATTCATGAAAA